GATTTACTTACAATTTTGTGAGAAAAAAAGTCACAAAAATAAAGTCATTAATTTTGTTATATTACATAAAAAGGATCTTCCATAGGATTTGTAATTGGACATTATTTTTTCCAACAAGTTGTCTGTCTTAAACAAAACACACAGAATGGATTAAAATATCCAACCACAAATCATAGGAGATCCTTTTCATTTCACGTTTTATACATCACTATCAACGTTTTACATTATTTTTAAAGGAATCGACTTTATTTTACATCATCATTCTCATGCAAAACCCAGTATGTTCTCACCGCACTGGGATATCAAAAAAAATATCCAGTGAGTGATATCCACAGGACGAAGGGGTAAACATTAGATAATTGAGATGTACATATTGAATTCTAGTTATATTTGTTATACATGTACAAGAAATGTGGAAAGTTATGTCATATGGATACCAAATTACCAGTATTTTTAACAATGACACAGCATAGGGCAAATTCTTTCAATTTACCTGAATTTTGTCTCCAACGCTTAAGCTGAAATTCTTTTTCTTGTCTACAAATTCAACTATGACACTGCCTGAGAGAAGAGTGATACTAGTATTACCCAGATCTTCTTGTATGAAAGCCTCCAAATGTAGACCTGTTAAATTTACATATTGATTTTGAAATGATTTCCCTCTCCTTTTCCTGTGTGCAAAAACAAGTTCTTTTTCTTCCTGTGAAACCATGGCTTAATACAGATAAGTACATTGTAAGAAACTGAGAAAACTGCAAGATATGCCATTGTTGCTTTAACCTGGATCATATGTTTGCACATCCGCAGTCTTTTACATTATTAAGCTAACATCAAAGGCAAACTGTATATTAAACAAAATAGAAAAATATTATATAAAGAACATGTAGATGGAATACCTGGAAAGTCAGCCACAAAAACTACATCTGTGTAGTTTGATGTGTTTATTAACTCTTTTTCCATCTCTGCAAGCTTGGATCTCCATGGAGATAAATCAAGCAGAAGAGGCAATGCAAAGGAAACTTCCCTAAAGGGAGACCACTCAACATCCACAACATTTACCCTGGGATCAAACATTCTGTAAAATACACAGTGATAAAGGTACTTTTCCACCAATTTGAATGATATTGAAAATAAATAGTGCCAAAAATATAGACATATCAAAAATGAAAGTTTTTGTTATTTTGATCTTGCAAATAAATACAGGAAAATAAGAACCTTTGTTGGAATCTGTTATTCATTGACTTCCAAATGTCAAAGTAGAGTTCCACTGACATATTATAATTCTGTAAGATGTCTGCTACACAGTGAGCATACTGAACCACCATATCGCCATGACTACTCCACCTCCTTCCTGTTTTATCAACAAAAGCCTGCCACAAAATGAAGTATGCATTGTATGACTGTATAGAGCGAGCTTTGATTACATGCATCATCATATACACAATAAAGTATTTACAAATCATTGACATTTTTTTAAAAAAAGTACGTAAGGGTTGCCCGCAACCCTGTGTCTCGCCTGCTGTCGCTGTGGTTAGTAAGAAATGATTGTCTGATAAACTGAAGCATTTATTGACATTCTGACTTAATATCTAATCCCTTGGCGATTATATTGGCATTTATATATATATACATATACCCTGTAAATTCACAAATTATTGTGATGTTTTTATTATTGCGAATATTGCAACGTGTTATGAGTCGCAATAATTTGAACTTGCATTTTGAAATCAAATCCACTGTATATGTATCAAGTCATTCATGCAGAAAATGTAGGTGAAGATTACCTAATTATGGTACTGATATTGTTGGTTACCCATGATGTGTAGACTGACAAATTATCATGCCACTATAAGTTATAGTTGCTGAGATATGGACCTCCACCATAAATTTATGCAAAGTCACTCATGCGGAAAAATGTAGGTCAAGATGACCTAATTCTGGTACAGGCGTTTGTGGTTACCCATGATGTATCCACTGACAAATTATCATGCCACTATAAGTTATAGTTGCTGAGATATGGACCTCCACCATAAATTTATGCAAAGTCACTCATGCGGAAAAATGTAGGTCAAGATGACCTAATTCTGGTACAGGCGTTTGTGGTTACCCATGATGTATCCACTGACTAACTATCATGCCACTATAAGTTATAGTTGCTGAAATATGAACCTCCATTATCAATTTAACCAAAGTCATTCATGCAGAAAAATGTAGGTCAAAATGACCTAATTCTGGTACTGATGTTGTTGGTTACTTATAACCTGTACAATGACAAATCATCATGCCATTATAAGTTATAGATGCTGAGATATGGACCTCCACCAAAAATTTAACCAAAGTCACTCATGCAGAAAAATGTAGGTCAAGATGACCTAATTCTGGTACTGACGTTTGTGGTTACCCATGATGTATCCACTGACTAATTATCATATCCCTATAACTTATAGTTGCTGGAATATAGGTCTTCACCATAAATTATCATGAAAAAACTAAGTCCAACTTAAGGAAAAAATACGGAAAAATTTGAATTTTTTTTTTCAAAATCATACTTGGGATATAAATTTTTATCCATACTGAATATTGTGTCCAAATTTCAAGAAGACTGAATAAAATTTGAGAAAGTTATTGCAGTTTATAAAACTTTGACATTTGGGTTAACCAAAAGTTGGACGCCGACGACGACGACGACGACGACGGAATCTATGGTCGCTATGTCTCGCTTCGCGACATTCGTCGCAGGCGAGACAAAAATATCAGTAAGTAATGATGAAGTGTGTAAAAAAAATATACAAATCAAAAACATTTCATGTCTGGGTTAAAAAAAAAGCAATTACATATTGCTAAAACTAGTTCACATGCAGAGCGGATCTTGTGATGTTTAGGTACAGTGTAATGTATGTGCATCAAAGCATAAAAGAATGCAATTCAAACACCACTGATTTTGTGTCTGTCTGTATACCTTTAAAAATGTGAAGAATAATCATATAAAAGAGTCTAACTAACATCTTTATACCTTAAATTTAACCTAAGATATAATTATACTAACAGTAGGGTCCAGAAATCCCTCTTTTCCTGAAATCTTGTCTCTGTAGGACAGTCTTATGTGCTGTGTTGACCAGGAATGGACCATCATATCCCAGGAGTACCCATACAGACCATTGGTCCAGTTATTGTAACCCTGAATGCAATATGCATTGCCATATAATCATATCCCTAATTAATCTAATCTATATAATTAGAAATATGATTATGTACACAATCACTTTCTTTTTTAGATCGTTGCATGTTTTAAAAGATTTAATTTGTTTATTCAGTAATTAAAACCATTCTATATAACTTTGACACACTACATCACTTTTTGTGTCATGTTTATGTGCTTACCTTTGTAATTCCATGAGAGTATGGGAGGAACAACTGTACCCCAATATAGAGAACTGTAAAGATTACCCCCAGCTTATGAACTAGTGAGGGAGAGGTGGGTGGGGGAGATTTACAGGACGAAGTAACTGTTCCTTTATGCTAAAAAGAAAGCTCTAAATATTGAAATTTGCAAATCACAGTCATTTCTCTTGTATAGCTTCCCAACTTACAGAACTTGCTCAAACACATGCAGCAAGTTTTCTTGAAAAGTCTAAAATTGTACATGAACATACATGTACGTTTAAAATTTTATGGTAATAAGAATTAATCGTACAATTGACAGTTAAGTAGTTCAGTTGCCTTCCATGCACATAGGAAGTCATTTGTTGTTTATTTTAATGTTAATACCTGTTCGTCTTCCTCAGGCTTGATATCTTCTTTGTTATATATACAATGTGAACTAGGCTGGATTTCCGAGTCTGTTGATATGAACATCTGAAGACATTTTGGCAGACGAGGGACAATCTTTCTGGGCCAATCCGCGGAACAAAATAAAGGCAGAGTGGCAAGCATGGCATATGGAAACATACCTTTAATTAAGTAGAACACAAATAATACATTGAAAAAAGGTTTCACAAGAATATTTTTTTCTTAAAAAATAAAACAATCTTTTGATCTTTAAAGCCAGACAATGTATATATGCAACACTAAAACCAATTCACACAAATATATTTTCATTTGAAATAATAAAACTATTCACTATTCCATGAGCTAATTTTTTTAACAGTACCATCATTTCAAGAGCACTGATAAAATACCTATAGAAAACATTGTTGAGTTCATGAGATGGAATGATGACAAAAAGAAGATGGCGAGGGGTCTAGTTCTATCAAACAGGAGAAGGATTCCTCCAGACAAGTCAATAGTGAGCCCTCCTATATGTACAATAAACAGGTCTATCTGCTCATCTGTCAAAACCAACCTTAAACAGATATAACAAACAAGCCTATATCTACATGCATTCCTCTGAAAATAAAAAAACTTTAAACAGAAGCAATAGGTGTATTCAATTAAAAAATAAGGTATCATTTTTTTAAACATCTAACGGATAAAAATATGGGTTGGTCTTGACATCAAATTCCACAAAGCCCATAGAAATTCAAATTCCGTAAAATTTGGACCATGAAATACCTGAATGGATCAAACACCCAGTTTTTAGACAACCTCTGCATGGAGTATCCAGAAATCCAATCTAAGTCTAGCTTCTTCAACCCAGCAATAAAGTATACAAGAAAAATCTGAAAGAAAAAAGATTTATTTTACTTGTCTTTCTACAATACAGGCAATTAAATGTTCAAAGCTGGCATGAGGAAGCAGTGTTTTAGCACTGCATACCTGAGTTCTACAGATGACATAATTCCACCAGGGTACATGTGAGTTGTTCATGGAATTATTGAGAAGACCATCCAAAGACCTGTTGCAATACAGAAAGCAAACATGTTTGATTTCAGGATCCAAAATAGCAATGTGCAATCAAGTATACTTCATTATATTGATCAACTACTGAATGGGTTAGATACCTTTTCAACTGATTGTGAGCATATTGTAGCATAAAACAAAAAAAATTTTCACTAAACACAACCTACCAGCATCTGTTGGCATCGACAGCCATTAAAATAATTCCCATCAGGCCATACAAGTAGGAATGATTATTCCATGCGGTCTTATCCAGAAGAAATATATACCAGTAGGTGGAACAGAACAGCAGACAGCTGGTACGATAAAACAGTCCTAAAGTTATGCCAAGGGCACCTATTTATGATATTAAAAATACACTCATTGAGAAAAGCATCTTTATAGATAAATTTTAGTTCTTGTTTCATATAATGGTGCACAATTCACTTTACTCTTTTGTATAAGGCTATTTATCTAATTTCTATTAAATAGCTTTTCTTTGAAGCATTACTGAAACAATATACCGGGCATATATATTTTTTATTTACTGACATAAAACACAACTGAATCAATAATTCAAGGATATTTATCATTTACCTATAAACATGATGAGATAGATAATATACATCCATTCCAGTGGGGCCACTTTGAGGGCCGAGAAGAGGGGGAACCTGCAGACATCTTGTCGGCCCCACCTGACATCTGCGTGGGACATCCCCCTCTCCTGGGGTATATCAGCCATCATCAAAATCCCTGTACAAGAGTATCAATAAAATTAACTCAACTGAATCTTAAAGATCATGGAGCATAATACTAGTCTAAAGTTCCTTTGTAAAACACATTAAACCATCAAGTTTTGAAATTACCTAGGATGCAAACTCATAGTTCACCTTTAAGGAGTATTTCTTGCAAATTATTCATTTTCCAGTGAAAGTTGTGCAAATATCAGTTAAGCATAAAGACTGTATAACTTACAAAAATGAAAAAAATTATATTTGTTTGATTAGCTAATCCACCCCAAGGGTTCCCGCACCTCAGATCTCCACATTTTTTCCTTATTCAAAATAAGGAAAAAATGCGGACGGGAGTATTTGGACTAATTTTCCGCATTCATTCCAGATTTTCGTAGATTCAAATTTCCAGATTTTCTCCGTATTCAAAATATGGAGAAAATGTGGATGGGAGTATTTGGACTCTTTTTCCGTATTCTCTCCAGATTTCCGCATTTCCATATATACGAAATATGGAGGTATTTACTTGGTTGATAAATTGCGGAAATACGGAAATCTGGAGAAAATACAGAGTTAATCACATGGTTATAAAATGGCAAATAAAACCGCTACATGATGCATACATACATAAATATTTACAAAACCATCAACAATGTGCAAAATTATATACAATTTATTATATCATTATGAGAAAAAAACATATAAATGAATGAACAAAATTACACATTATGTTCATGAGCAATGTATTGGATCTTATATCTTTGACAAACAAATAGGAGCATGTATGGAAAAAAAACTGGAACTCTTATTTAAGCCACAAGTTCATCATGGAAAAAATGTGGCATTTTTTAATATTCAAATAAAAATAAATGGAAATTTATTCATTCTATTTAAGCAAAAGTGGGAGTGAAATGTTCAACACTATTAGGTATTGGGGAAAAAAATAACAATTGACATAGCATTGAATATTTACAAAACAAGAAAAGTTTTTAGACATTTTTTATCAATCTGGATCACATTTGCCATTTTCTACCTGCATCCCTGATTCATATTTCTCACAATTCAATTTATATCTCAGGTCTGTGCTTTACACCCATCTGTCCAATAAAAATTTTCTTCAGACTTCTTTGTAATTTGTAAGGTCTCTGCATGTTTAATTTCTTGCAGCAGCACTTGCGGTTGAATTGGCAAATCCTATCAATTAAAAAAAAAGTACTTAAATTATAATGGTGCAATATTAATAAAATTTAAATTCATTGCTTTTATTCCTTTTAAAATCTTTTTATAAACACAAGTTTGGGTTCTTCAATTTAATATCAATTTGTTTAAAATATTATTTATAATAATGACAATCATAGTTGACTGTTTTTAATTATTAAACAAGCAATAAAAAAAGAAAAAAAGAATATATATACCTTAAACATAACCATCCATGGACCAAGCTTTAAGCCCGTTAAAATCGCAGTAAGTTGAATAAGCACTTTTTCTTTTTCAGAAATCTCCTCATGCACAGACGCTACCAATAAAAAAAAAATGTATGGTAAATCATTGCTAGAGATTACAGCCCATGGCTCCCCAAAATTAACACCTTTAATTGTGGTTAACCATAATAAAATTCTATGAGCTGATTGAAAGATTTGAATCATGGGCATATTGGCTGAAACGTACGTAACCTGGTAGCTCAGTCCTAGGCCTAGAGTATTTATTTTCATCATCACAGTGACACACATGTTAAAAAAAATATGACTGACCTACCGCATATGAAATACGTGTATCTGCATCTTTTGGTTGATACAGCAATACGATCTCAGGCTGTCTGGTCAACAAACTTCTTCCTTTAGACAGAGCAGACGTTGCAACATGGAGGCCAAGGTTAAATTTTGGCGGTCTGTTGTTTAAATTAATTGATCACTGAGCCCGACTTTTTGAAACATTCTTCCGATCCCGATCAAATTGTACATAACATTCAGGAGAAACAGAGAACTGCTGTTAACTCCAAGACAGTTTTTATGCACCCAAATTTTTTCGGGGCGCATATTGTTTTTGTCCTGTCTGTCTGTTTAGCTGTATGTCTGTCTGTTTGTTTGTCTGTTGTCAACTTTAACCTTCACCATAACTTTTGAACCGTGAGACTTAGAGACTTCATATTTGGTATGGATACTCCACTACAAAAACACTTTCAACTGACACCAAGGTCAATGACCTTATGACCTTGATTGTGACCTTTATGCTAAAAATAGCTTTTTCGAACTTTCGCCATAACTTCTGAACCGTGAGAGATAGAGACTTCATATTTGGTATGCATACTCCACTAATTAGGCACTTTCAACTGACACCAAGGTCAATGACCTTGTGACCATGACTGTGACCTTTATGCTAAAAATAGCTTTTTGGAACTTTCGCCATAACTTCTGAATGGTGAGAGATAGAGACTTCATATTTGGTATGCATACTCCACTAATTAGGCACTTTCAACTGACACCAAGGTCAGTGACCTTGACTGTGACCTATATGCTAAAAATAGCTTTTTCGAACTTTCGCCATAACTTTAAAACCGTGAGAGATAGAGACTTCATATTTGGTATGCATACTCCACTAATTAGGCACCTTCAACTGACACCAAGATCAATGACCTTGTGACCTTGACTGTGACCTATGTGCTAAATATAGCTTTTTTCGAATTTCGCCATAACTTTTGAACCATAGATGATAGAGACTTAATATTTGGTATGCATACTACACTAATAAAGTGCTTTCAAATGACACCAAGAACAATGATTGTGTGACCTTGACTGAGACCCATTTGCTAAAAATTGTTTTTTAGAACTTAATATTGCCGCCAGGTGCTACTGTGTCTCACAAACACATCTTGTTCTTGATGAAAAAATTCTAAGTCCAGAGCTCCGTATTTTTTCCGGATGAAAAATATTCTAAGTTAAGAGTTCAATATTTTTCCAGATGAAAAATAGACTAAGTCCAATTCTCTGTATTATTTCCGTTTATTTTCCGTATTATTTCCGTATATTTTCTGCTTTTCCATATTGTTAATTTTCTCCGTATTTTTTTCCACATTTTTTCCATATTAAAATGAGGAAAAAATGCGGAATAATGCGGAAATCTGGAGATCTGAGGTGCGGGTTAGATTATAATCCTTACCAAAAGCAATCCTTAGAACTGCTAGATTAGCAGGATCAGTGGGGAGGCACAGATATCTAACCAGCGCTGATAGTGATGTCACATCTCTAATGCTGTCCACATGTCTGTCTGGCATCCTCATTGGCTTCTGGCTAGCTTTATTCTTCATCTTAACACCTCTGTAAAACAGTCAAGTAGAAAAAGTATTGAGTTAATATTAACTTATAATAAATGTTAGCGTAATTTTCTGCACGTATAACTGTAGTCAATTGATTATTTTTTTTATGAATTGACATATCTGTCTTTAAACTAAATCCATTAAATCTTACAATATACCTGTTATTCAGAAGTGCTAGCCAGTGTCACTATTAAAAAAGACGTACAGGCTATATATATAAAACACCTAATGAACATTACCTCCTCTGGTACTTTGTGATCCCTCAGACCCTGGCAGCTTCAATTCCATTTACTGTTCTCCATCTTCAATGTTCAATGTCTTTCCTGAAAAACACAATATAAACTTAAATGATTGCATTGTTGCTGTCAACCTTACACCGTTAGCATTACAACTGTATGGCTGTAAATAATTGTTTCCCAAGCAGCTGTTACAGGATTGGCACATCTCAGATATTAATCTGTTCCAACCTACATTAGAGAGGCTTCTCAATTCCAAATGTGATTGCAATTCCTTGTCGCGACTGAGACATGATATACGGAATGAGGGGAAAAATCAATATAAGCTGTCAACATAAAAATTGAAGTCGGATACAAATTTATTTAATTACCAATGGAAATGTTAAAAGAAATCATAGGACTAACTGTTGAAATTTGACAAACTCAGAAGCTTGTAAATACAAGAGTTTTATTTTTTAAAAGTTTTATGCAAAAAATATATAACAAATAATTAATAGATTAATTTTTACAGAAGAAATGAATGGTCTATATTTTTACCTCGATTCCACATTTACAAAATAAAGGTATGCACGAGAAATATGGTATGTACTCTAAGTTTATAAAGTAAAATCAGTCGAAATCTTTCAAAAAATATACTTTCCCTAGGCCTGAGGTGCCTACCTGCTTGGCTGCTAGTGACATGTGATGTAAACTTCCTCTTTGCCAAATGAGAATATGGAAGCCTTTTACAGTCATAAAGGATAAAAATACATGGTGTTCATTAATAGTCATAGCCTGTTCCTAATCCTTTCACGATTTAAGCATTGTCTTTAATTTATCCTCCGATCATAAATCAAAGATAAGATCGGACAAAGGTCACATACAAATCTCATATAAGTTGGGGGGGGGGGGTGTCAATTTAATGAATCTAAAATAAACCAAAATATCAGAGCTAAGATCGACCTATTTCATCAATTAATAATAACTTCATATTTTTGTTTATTTTGATCATATTTAGAAGGAAATCTCTTATGTTAAAATTCTTATACTTTTTAGTGAGTGTCTCTTTACAGTCAAACTTCATTATCTCAAACTTGATGGGACTGAGAGAAAAACTCGAGATTTCAAATAATTCAACCCACCAAATGATATTCATTTAAGAATGGGTCAAATGATTTTGTCATCCAAATTACTTTGACATGTTCATGGTATATGAAATATTGAGTGTTCGGGATACCAAAGTTCAACTGTAAACCGTATACTGGCCTATGTATGGAATATTTGCCCAATTTTCTTTCCATACATTTTTATTATTGTAAGCATAAACTTTTAAAATAATAAAATGTTTTTTTTTTCCTCATATGAATTGGGCTATTTTATCATTTTAAATTTATTTCAATGGTAGATTACTAAAGAATTTTTTAAACAAATACGAAACTACGGCAAGTTCCCCCGATCAGCTGCTTGAAATAGCATTGTTAGCGGTAACTGGAAAAACCCGAAACCCCCCGATTTTACCTCAGAATCGACGGGTTTCTTCTTGTCTTGATATACTGCACACCACGCCCGATCTAAATTCGCGATCGCGGAAGTCGTTTCGAGTAATCCGTGGAAATAATTACTGTAATCTTGATCAATACGAATATTATATCATGTTTGAATCTTATTTAAAAAAAAAATTATTTGTAAGGAAACCTTAAGAATATAAAAGAAGTATGAAATATTTATCATGTTGAAAGACATTACAGTGCAATGTTTAATTGATTTTTTTTTAAAATGAATTTAACTAGTCCATAAGGCATTAATCAAGGAATAAAGTCATTTTTATAAATTCCAATTATTTATAATATGTAATTAAATTAAATTAATTAATGAATGAATCTGTTAATGTAATTATTATAATGAAAGACATTACAGTGAAACTTTTAATTGAATGTTTTTTTTTATGAATTTAACTACTAGTAGTCCATTAATCAAGGAATAAAGTAATTTTTCTCAATTCCAATCATTTATAACATGTAATTAAATTAAATTAACTAATGAATGAATTTGTTAATTCATTTAATTTTTAATTAAGGTGTTTGTTTTGAAATGTTTTCTTCTATGTTTAATAATTAATTTTTAAATTCAGTATTCATTCATTATTATTTTCCAGTTACCAATTTTTTGTTTTAATGTTTTTGGTTCTGTTTTTTTTTTTTTTTTTGGGAGAGTGTGTTTTTTTTTTTTTTTTTTTTTTTTTTTTTTTTTTTTTTGTTTTGGTTTGTTTTTTGTTTTGTTTTGTTTTTTATGCAAGTAATAGAAAAAATATACTCATTGATATGAGAAAGCAACATGTATCCATTACAATGAAATTATTAGAATCCAGGTCTATGAAATAAAAAACTCTGATAAAAAAAATAATAAAAATGTGCATGTTGCATATGTGAATCCTTGTACAGTTGGTATTGTAACATTATTGTGAGAATATTATTCACACCTCAGCTAGCTCTGTTGTTTTGTACTGGGATAGACAGGCACCCCTGTGTGTGTACATGCACTATATACACAGCTGTTGACACTTGGTCAACTTGATAATAAACACCTTTTGTTTAAACACCTGGGTTCCCAGCTAGTCTGACCAACCCCCCTCTGGCAGGGCATGTGTATATACATTGAACCTTTACTATTCTCAATTGTACAGTTATGCTTTACAGAATTTCATTTTAAGGACGTTAGCACACACATAAGGAAAATATGAATTTTGATAATTTTGATAATTCATGACAAATTAATAAATAAAGAACTTTTAAATTAGTAATAACTGAAAATATTCATAGTTTCCTTATGTTCCCAGCTCTAACCACGTGGAGGCCTCCTTAACTGTAGAGCCATGATTTGAATTTTGAAACAAAAATATTAAAACCAAAGGACCGAAAGATGACCGAAAGATAAAAAATAAAAAAAAACTTTAAAAAGATTTTTAAAAAACTTAAAGATACTGGATCATTATTCCTAGTCAATCTTTTGTTCATATATAAAAATATTACAGCCAAATGAAAGTAATATACATGAAATAAAATAACATAATAAAAATTTATGAGAAAGGAATTTATAATTTAATTAGCAACATTTAAAAAAACAATAACATTCCTAACCTAACCTAACCTAACACAACACCAAACAGTATTCACTGGTCTGCAATGTGTCTGGCGGGGGAGGAATACTGCCTGATACTAATCCTACTCTAATTTCTAACCTAACACAACACCAAACAGTATTCACTGGTCTGCACCCGTCTGGCGGGGGAGGAATACTGCCTGATACTAACCCTATTCTAAGTTCTAACCTAACACAACACCAAACAGTATTCACTGGTCTGCACCCGTCTGGCGGGGGAGGAATACTGCCTGATACTAACCCTATTCTAAGTTCTAACCTAACACAACACCAAACAGTATTCACTGGTCTGCACCCGTCTGGCGGGGGAGGAATACTGCCTGATACTAACCCTATTCTAAGTTCTAACCTAACACAACACCAAACAGTATTCACTGGTCAGCACCCGTCTGGCGGGGGAGGAATACTGCCTGATACTAACCCTACTCTAGAAAAAATAATAAATATACAATCTTAAAATTTTTTTGGTTTTGTTTTTTGGTTTAAGACTGACTGATTATTGGCCTCTGATCTACTGTATTTTAGATTTTTTTAAAGTTGTAGTCCTGTCCACTTTTTTACGTTTTTGTTGACCTATCTTTTTACCTAAGGTACGTGGTCTAACTATAGTGGTAGTACCGTCAGTTGATGTAAGCGTCAGGCATAAAATGGCCAGTGCAACCAGTGCTCCATCAGTAAGTTCCCCTACAGTTCCAACACCCATCCCAACAGCAGCTTCATCTATTCCTCACCCTGTATCTGTACCAAGTCCTCCAGCAGCTCCCTCAACTATTTCCCCAATTACAATGCACCCTGTACCCGTCCAAGTTACTGCATCAGCTCCGTCAATTCCAGCACCCATCCCAAATGCAGCTTCGTCAATTCCTCCTGCTTCAGCTCCATCAACTACACCAGCTACAAGCCATCTTGTACCCATCCTGAGTCCTTCAACAGCTCCATTAATTACTCTCCCAACAGGTCCTACAACAGCTTCCTCTGTAGAAACCCCTACATCTCCTCAGTCACCTGTTCCATCTATTACTTATTCAGAACGAATTGCGGTAATTGGTCAAAATCATGTGTCAGAATTAGGGAACAGTGTAGCAAATGGTTCTGTGAATTTTAAGTTGCCAAATGATTATTGCGTTAAATTTTTCAGTGACAAAGAAACAACAACAAAAAGCTTTATTTATAGTCAATCTTTTGGAAGAGCAGTTGAATTTTGTCCAACAAAAGTGTTTCTACAAGTGGGAGAAAAAGATATAAATTCATCTTCTGTGTCAGAAATAGTGTTAGGAATCCAAAACATTATTGAAAAACTGTGAAGAAATGATTCAGTTCAAAAAATATTTATTGGAAGTCTGTTTAGGCAAATGATTTGTGGTACTATGGATCCAGGAAAGTACAATTCTACGGTTTTTGATATAAATAACACACTCCGGAGGAAATATGGAAATTCTCAGAATGTGATATTTTGGAGATGTAGGGGTTTAATGAATTCGAATAAAAACATTTGGCATGTCAATGGGATTAGTTTGAACATAGAGGCAATGGAAATTTTTAGTCGACAGATTCAGCTTGCAATGAAATGTAAAATTACATAAAATACCTGTGCTTGGAGATGATCAAATAATTTCAGTTATCTTTCAACCAGTTCAGACAGACATTTTTCATAGTTAAAATTCCATCAAAACTTCAGTTCTTTTATTTTGTTGTGTGATTTTTTTTTCTTCTGTTTTTTTCTTTTATTTCATATATGTTGTAATTTAAAGACAATTCAAAATGTAAACAACTGATGTAAAATATTTTTTTTTCTGAGAAAAGAACATAAAAAAGTTACTTTGAAATAAAATATCTATATATTTGAAAATTGATATATTATTCTAATTTACTATTTATTTCAGGTTTCAGTATTTTCATCTTTTGACTTTGATTTATTTTTTGTTCTCTTTTTAACATATAAGTAATTATTATTTTTATTTTTAATTTTTATTGTTGCTTTGAACCTTTGAATTTCAAATTTTTATATCCCTACATTCAGAATTTGTCTAAAATCTCAAAAATAAATTCAGTATTTTCATATTTTGAATTTTATTTAATTTTTTGTTCTCTTTGTAACAAATAAGTAATGAATTTCTTTACTATTTTTATTTTTTTTGTTGTTAATGTTGCTTTGAAGCTTTTGGATATTTTCATATCTCTAAATTCAGATTTTTTTCTAAAATATCCTAAATGAAATTTTTTTTTTTAAATTATAGCTCTACAAAAAGGAGGCCTCCACGTGGCTAGAGCTGGTAACATTGGGATAATATGAATAATAATTAATACACAAATTCATATTTTCTTAATGGCTAACGTCCTTACATTTTTTGTTAAATACTTATTACATAATTAATATTTTACTATTATCATTGTAAAACAAATATAATTGTGGAAATTATTATGAATTATTTTAATGTTATCTATACATTATATTGACAAACAGCTCGCTTCGAATTTAGATCGGGCGTGGTGTACGGTAAACTCGTAATGGCGCCCGATTTCCGTCGATTCTGAGGTAAAATTGGCTATAAAAATTTACGGATGTCAATATCATTCAATTAAACATCACCTTAGGCCTTATTGTACCCCATTACGTTCAATTTTATGGGGTTTCCACCACTTTATTGGGGTTTCACCCCTCCTGTATGGGTATTCTCCAAAAATGGGGGGGTTTCGGGTTTTTCCAGTCACCCCATTGTTAGATCAAACATGGCTGAAATCGAAGTGGAACGTTTCAACTCGTAATGTCAACAGATATTTTAATGGCGTCTGATCGGTAGCATGTTCTTTTACACACATTATGGAGGAAAGGTACAAGGAATTATTAAAAATTCACCATGAAAAATTTGTCAACACGATTGAAGTCGACAGACTCTACCCGTTTTTACAAGGCGCCCAAGTGCTTGCGACCGATGACATATTGGAAATAAACAAACACCACAGAGGCGATGAAAAGGTCGAAAAACTACTGGAAATTATCCAGCAAAAACCTGATTTTCCTTTCCAGAATCTGTGTTTTGCATTACAGTCAACATATCCCCAATTATTAACGGCAATGTTTCTGGGACAGAATCACCGAGATCCGCGTACAGGTGAGAGGTTTATCAAGCTAATCAATACGTCAAGGAAAAAACTTCTCAATGTCATAAGACTGCAGAACAAGTGCTTGTAAGGGCGCAAGTCAAATTGATATTTTATTATCAATGCACCACACTGACTTGCATTGATTGATTGTATGAAATAAGAGTTTATGTAAAACCTGTTTATTTATGCTGATTTGTGGATAGGCCTATCTGTCGGTCACTGTATCATATTTGGAAATCTTGTATCAAGATTGTACATATTAATAAAACATCTCTTGGTGGTGGTGGGGTTCTGAAAGAAACCATTGATGTCATGGAAAAGATATTAAAATGTTTCAAACCGCTTCTCCAAAAATTAATTTAAAATATATTGTACATATCAATTGTCTTGTCATTGAAAATTAATCGGTTTTATAAAACATTTGTAGGAGGAAGCCCTCTGGACATCTTGTATCTCAGAAGTAAGTTTTAATATAAAATGTAGCAGTAAGTTGATTCAGATAGTACGAGAGAAATGATATTTATGCCCTTGGTTGATATTTTGACAGTCTCAGTTTTTTGTTTGTTTCAAATTTGTTAAAAATCATAAATGAAGCATTGATTTTGAAAGCAGATTTGGAATTACCCGTTAACTTGTGAGTTGAAGTCAGCATCACTCATCATCGCAATTAAATCTCAGACTTGCAGATTTTCTGACTCTGTTGAATGTATTTATTTGAGATGCTAATAAGAGTTGTGGTGGTTATATAAATGATTGGGAGTGAGGAGGGGCATTGTTGCAAACCACGTTCAAAATGTACAATCTTCTCCCATTCTGGTAGGTGGGAGTTAATGCGGTTAATACAGTTAAGCCCGAACTGTAGCTTGAGACAATGGAGGGTGGGTGGGTTAGAAAATCAATTTTAAGACCCTAGCTTTTGGCTGCCTGACTTATAAACAATAGGCACAACTTTCTATTTTGATAAAAGAGAAAAGAAATAACACACACATTAACAGCATTTCATTAATATATCTGTTTTATTATTAAGATAGATTTTTGTAAGCGTGACACATTGACAGTTCTATTTCCTTCAATTATTGTACTTTCAATCTTGTGTTTTTGTAGATTAAAAATATGAGCTTTTTCAACCTGCATTCATTAACTTGTTTTATTTATTCTTACTTTCTTTTTTAATTCATGGAAACTTTAAATTTGAACAAACAGAGGAAAGATTATTGAACTGATAATTACATTTAACCAAATGAATTATTCATTAATTTAATATCTATTCTTTGAATTGTTGAATTCCCTTTTTAGGAAATTATAGATTTGTTCAATTTTTCTTTGAGATAAATGGTAGAAAACATATTCCAGGTGACTTCAGTTAGAAAAAAAAGAAATGCAAAATCTTTGTTCTTTGTTTCTATGAATTCATTGTACTCTTGGTGTTATTGTTTTTGTCTGATGAATGATTCCGTGGTACGTAGTGCACAGTTAACTGAACTAAACTGGTACGTTGTGACGATAGTAAGACGACCAGACATAGACGTATGACAGTTGATAATATATTGTAGAGACCAGTCAGGCATGGTGCTTCAACCTATTACACTGCACTTTTAATTACCAAAAACCACCCTATTGAATTCATGTCCTGCTTTAATCAAAGATAAGGGCCAAACCTTGACAGTGGCACACACAGCACTGCCAGAGGAATAAAGAAATTAAAATGGTGATAAGGCCTTTGTTTTGTTAAGTGTTGATCGAAGATAATTACAAATGTGTCTTGACATATAAGATTGCACACACCCTGTTCTTTTGCGCAACTAGAAGATAAATTTGTTTGTTCAGACAGAATTAAATAAAAGCTATTTTTTTACAGGTAGTTTTATATTGATCAGCTGATCTTGTTGTATGTGTACAGTATGTTAATATTTACCTTTGTAATTCAAAGTATATGTGCACCTACTCCTTGCACATAAAAGAGTATTGTACATATTAGCATGAATATCACACAGCATGCCAAATCACATGAGTACCTTTCTGTATAGGTCAACCTGGAATTTCCTCCAACTCAATAGTACCTGTGTAAAAGTATGCATATGATACCACAAATTAATGTTTGTCATTATTATACTACATGTATTAAGATAACGAAGAATATGTAAAATTAATTAAAAAGCACCTAATGACCAGGTTATTTATACTTGTGCTGTCATTCTTTTTCACACTTCAACATTCAGTGTATCATTTTCAAGGTAGAGCTGATCAGTTTAAACTTTTATAAGAAACTTGTAGCCTATATATCCATCAAAGGCCAGCCTGACAGTAGTGTGTTTGGATGATCAATGGGAGTCCGCAGATGTGAAACAGCCGTCAATAATTGTCATTTCAATGTGTTTAAAAAAGGAGATTCAATGTTCAGAGAGGCATGCTGTCAGACTCTTTCCTTGTCATAAAATGAAGTCTTGGTCATTCTTTGAGGGCTGTCATTACATTATTCTCTGTACTTCCTCTTTACCTTTGTCAAAACAGGATGACACATATCTATCCCTCTGTATACTAATTCATGCATATGTATACAATTTAACCACAGGGGGGACCTCTGCATAAAAAACAAAATAACAATATGTTAAGTGAAATTGCAGAAATGGATTCCCAAATAATCATTTGACTCTGAAAAACAAACACTAACAGTGTAATTTGTGTATTCAGTGATCTTTGCATTTTCATAACAATGCATATTTTGTTGTTCATTTTTGTATCATGACTCTTAAGTTCTATATTCATTCAATGCAGCTCCATTATAATTAAAACATTGTATGTATTTATCAAAATGAAGTTTAGACTAAAAAATACTATTTCCTTGTAAAGGGCAAGTTTATATTCTGTCTAGACTCACAATTGTTGATTGCTCCGACTTTTTTTATTGGCTGAAATAATGTGAATCATAATTACAAAAAAAATTATTTTTAGCAGTTAAACTTATTGCTGTTTTTAATGTTACTTAAGATTGATAAGATGAGAGTTTGATAAGTTTTCCCTTTGAGATTACAAATAACTTGAAACTTAAAATGCTAATTTTCACCTTGATACATAACCCCCACCCACCCAATTCATGACACCCCCTTAAATGCCTAATGTCATGTACCGGTAAATGGCGGCGTGATTCAAAGTTTTTTTCAAACATTTCAGAAAGAGATATCAATAGAAATATCATTTT